GGGCTGGGGTGGGTGGGGCTCCGGTCTGGCTGGGTGATGGGGCACCCTTGAGCCTGCGCTTGTCCTACCACCTGGCACCTCCCCCTCCCTCACTGCAGGGTCTTCGATCTCCCCTACTGCAGTGAGGGAGGGAGTGGGGCTGAGGATTGAGCCCCCCATGGTGCAGGAGGGAATGGGACAGGGGAAGCAGGAATCATTCATCCCTGCCCCTCTCCTTCCTGCATTGTGAGGATTGTCCCACGACCCAACCTGGCCAGAGCCCCATTCATGGTGAATTGTGCCTTGGCTGGGCCAAGTTGTGCAACAATCTCCACAGGGGGTATGCATAACAGTGTGCAGTGCTGGGGCGGGGTTCGCAGGTGGTGGATACTGTGCCACACTGTGCTGTTTTCCTATGGCTGCTCATGGCTCCAGGGGCTGCTGATGGGCTTCGTGCCAGGCCAGTTTTGCACTGCTGGGGGCGGCCACAAAATACACCACACCCCTGCCCCCCCCAGCTGTTCAGACAGGTAGGGGCAGGGGGTGCTGCGGTGTGCTGCGTAGGGCCAGTGACACCCAGGAGGTCCTTCCCCTTGCCCCTTCCCCGGGTAAGAGGCGAACCTGCTGGGGGAGAGGCTGCTGCTGCCGCGCTCCAGGGCATGCTCTGTCCCTGCCCACCCACGCATACCCTCTGTGACCTAAGTACCCCTGGGGGTACACGTACCCCCCTGTTGATAACCTCTGTATTAGAGTATATAATATAACTGAAAAGTAAATGACAGATTAGGGAATGTTATCTTTAATGTATTTTGAAGACCTGATGTAAGTGAATGCAAATGTAGTAGAGTAATTGTTTATTCACTAAATAAGTGAGGCAGGGTAGATGTGCATCTTTGTAGACTGACCGAGATACAGAGCACAAGAATTTTTGAACCCAAGTTCACTTCATCAAATGCTGTGAAAAGTTTTTTTTTATGAAAAGCTTGTGTGTTCTTGCACTCATGCACGCACGCGCTCTCTCAGTTAATCTGTAAAAGTGCATATTTACCTTGCCTTCTGACTGACTTTTGACTAACATGGCTAACTACATATATTAAACAAATAAGGGAATGTTTGCTTCTAAAAAGTAAGTTGAACTGGATTTGTTTTTCCCATGTTATGGTAAAATTCATTATGCTTACTTTCCTTTTAAATTTTTAGTTGTTAAAATGCAAATACTATGGACCACGTCTTACAAATGTTTGTGTGTGTTAGTTTTAACAATGACTTTTGAATTATTCACTTCACATTTAGAAGTGAATGAGACTACCTGTGCATAGAATTATTTGTTATATCTTTCCTAGATTATTGTCTCACTCATTTTAAAATTAGAAATAAATACAATTTTTTTTTTCAAACCACGGTGCAGAATTTTCAAATGGAATTTGATTGCTTTTAGTGGTATACCATCTACTAGGTAAAATGGTCTACCAGTTAGGATTTATTTTACCGAACCAGTTTAATTCACTTTTCATCAGTTTCTTTTGGTTAAGGTTTGTTGATACAGAATCAGTTTTGAACATTTGTGTTAAAATATTTTGATAGTTATTAATTCAAATGGAATGTTCTGATTTCACTGTTCAGTTTTGGAATGTGCAAGGCCTAACTAAGTCTAAAGATTCTAATTTAACTTGTATTAAAAGAAAAAAGTGACTTCCAGTATAGTGGAGGAGTCTCTGACTTTGTGTTCTTAATTATTTCCTCACACTTTAAAATCCTTCCTTACAAATACCATTTTCTGAAGAAAGCAGATAGGTCAAAGCTATTTGTCAGAACTGCTTTACTTCATCTGTCTGATTTTTATGAGCTCTTGCTGGGTGTTTTCTGAGTCTTAGAAACAGCATATATTCATCAAATTAAAACTGATAGAGTCAACTTGCTAGTTTTGGCTAGGCTTATGATCAATTTGACAGTGCCACCTTAAGAAAGGGTAGAACCAGTAGACTGTGGTGATGCCTGAAAATTAAGAAAGCCGATTCAGAAACAGTACTAGGACCTTACACTGTTGCAAGTAATGGTAGAAGCACTGGGATAGATTTGCTACCTGCTGAAAGCTGAGTTTCTGCAGCAAGAGATATGAGACTTTGCCTGCTGCAGTCAGTATGTTGACACTCCATGCTCACTTTTAGAAAGGATTGATTAACATAACAACTCTTCGGTTTTTTCTTAGCTTTACTGTATGTTTCTTGTATGCGTCCTGTGAATTCTTAGTCTGTTCAATTATGTATCCACAATTTATTTGTGTTGAGGCTGAAATGGCCTTATCTTTCCCACTCTGTCACCATTTTCAGTTGTTTCATATACCATCTTAAAGCTAATTTTTTATTTGCATTATACACTTTCTAAAGGCATTTTCTGTTATTCCTGGCTCTGCACAGTTGGTTAAAAGATCTTATTACTCGCCCTATTATTGTGACACTCTTACTAACCCCAATACTTTGGTTTCAAGTCTGTTTGCATGACTGCTTAATCTTCATATTTCTTGGGATGGAAACTGCACCTTTTGGAATCCAGCCATCTCACATTTACCAAAATTTTGCTTTAAAGGTATTAGTTGCATGTTTTTGTTTAATCATCTATCCTGTTGATGAAGGTTGCACTTTTTATACTCAGGCATCCTCACATTGGTTGCTTGCACAACTAAGATTGATTTGCTTTGATTTTATTTCAGTGCGAAGCAGATTGAGGGCTATAGTGGGAGCTTCTACCAACTGGAGGTACAGTGTACATTAAATGTATTTTTCTTTTTTTTGTCATATCCTAGAGAGAACTCACCTTCGTAGTAATGGAGATTGGTGAGGCTGTCCATTAAGCTATGGGAAAGATGCCTCACCAAGACTGGGAGAAGCAAGGCAAATGGAAGGGTTTTGAATTCAGAATAAGCGGTTAAAGTTCTTGAGGGTATGGACAAACACACTTCGACTGCTTTAAAAGGCGAGGGGGAAATTGCTGTTTAGGAGTGCACAGCAGCTGTTTCTATCTAACTTACACTTCATGTTAGCTATTTGAATTCAAGATGAGGTTTTTTCCCTCCATTCATCACAGGAATGCCACAATGTTTGGATTAGCTGCTCGGCATCACCTGACAAAGGGGACTAGATGTTATTATATTAAAAAAAAAAAAAAAAAGTCTCATCAGTCATCTAGCTGAAGAAGGGGGAAAAAAGCAAAAGTAAAGCTGTTTATAGGGAGAAGGAGGGATAAAGCACAAAGACAGAGGGACACTCCCTGATATGGCAGAGAAGATATACAGGAGGTGGAGGGATTGTGGGTAGCTTAGGGAACTGGTATATGAAAGACCACTCAAGTATGGTAAGGACACTGAGGGGAGGATTGATGAAGGGGTTGTTTAGTTGTTTTATCCTTTTGTGGGCACTAAAGAGTAATGGTGTTTGCAGCCTGTGTGTCATGTGCCTCCCTTGTCACACGGGTCTAAGGAGGTAAATTGTAAAACCACAGGGCCTACAGGACTGGAGCTTTTGGGGAGAGGCTGTGCTTAAGTTACTGGTAAGTCTAGGGGGTCTGCACTGGCCCTGTGAGCCGAGGGCAGTGGAGACATGAAGTCTTACTTCAGTGAAGGGGAAACAGATGGCGGCTGTACCTGTACAGCATTCAAGAGACTAAAGAAAGAGGAAGTGCTGGAGCCTGCTGAGCCCAAGAGAAACTTAAGAGCACATGGGTCCACTCAGCAAACACTGAAGCCTGGTGAACGCTCAGAAATGGGAGCTCAACTAAGGCTGTATTGTTGGGATATGCAGACATTTGGATTTCTGTTACAGGAAAACAGTTAGGATGGAAGAATGTTTTTAGCTGCTAAATTCTATTTCTAGGATTTTGTAGTTGGCATTTGGGTGACAACTTGTATTTCAGCATTCTAAAAATATGGTTGTGAGGATTGTTATTACCATATGCCTAACAGTAAATATTTCTGTTTATGAAACTATATATTCTTACGTTTCCTGGGTGACATCCTGTCTTCACTGACTAGGAGTTTTTCAGTGGACTTGAATGGAGCTGGTATAGGGTGGGCATATCATAATTGAACTTCTATTGTTCATTGAGAGTGGGTGTAAGGACTTTTTGCATTTGTACCTGTGACTTTTGATGTACCTCAAACTTCTCTTAAAATTTGCATGATCTGTGAAACTTTTTTTTCTGATATCTTACCCTAAGCAGGTATGTCCAAACAAAAGCAAAAAAAAGTATTGAGTTGCATCATCTGAGCCTCACATCTTCACTTAGCTATGTAATATATTCTAAGTGCATTCAGCTGGCTGTGGAATGTAAACCTTTTAGACTGGGAAATTGTATCTACTCTGTTTGGTACTATGTATTAAAGGTTGGTCAAAATAAATTAATATTTCACAAATTTTTGGAAGCAGTGAAAGTTCAAGATTTTCTGTGAATTTTTTTTATAATCCTTGATTAAACATTAAAAAAAATTCTTACAACTTTTTCTTAAAAATTTGCAAAAATTGTTTTGGTGACGGAGGAATAATACTTCCCCCCACCAGAAAACAGAGCTACAAATGGTTTGGTTTTTTGTTTTTTGGGATTTTTTTTTTTAAAGGGTGTGGAAAATATGATGAAATAGTCCTCAGTTTTGAAACAATCTCTTGAAGTGCTTCTTTTTGAAGCTTTTTCTAAAACACCTGCTTTTTTCTGAGCAGTCCTCTGGTATGCCACAGTGTTTGGTTGCTCCTGAGGTGGGAGGCGGAGTGAGGTGGAGAGCTAGTGAGTATTCTCTTGTGCTCTTGGTTGTCATAAGTAAGCTCCAGAGACCAAGAGGCATGCAAAGAATCCTCCTCTTTAGCAAGGGGGCTGGAGAGGATTTCTTGCACACCTCTTGGATTCTGGTCTTCCGAAGTACCCAGAGAGTGGATGCATTGACTGTCTGTCCTGCTCTCCTTTCACTCCCTTTTGGGGAGAGGTGGCAGAACACCAAAGGATGCCAGAAGACTGAGCAGAGGACTCCGGGATGCCAGAGGACCCATTGTGCCCCATGGCTGGAGAGCACTGCCGGTGCATGCTGTTCCATCGACTTGTTGAGAACATGATTTGGGAGAAGGGGGCAAGGAGGTGGTGCCCATCTGTACAGCATGGAAGTGCTTGGAATTTGAAGCAGATTAAATGCACATCTATCTGTGGCCTTTGGCATTAAACTGGAAATCTTGCAGGCTTAAAAATATGAGTATTCTTTTTTTTTTAACACTCTATTATTCAGCCTCAAATGGAAGGGATAGATTTGGTGAATTCGTGTGGAGGAGAAAATAAACTGCTGGGAATGGAGTTGAAGATGAAGTAGACATGGAGTCACAGTTCCTTTGCTTGAAGCTGATTTGAAAGACACAGTCTGGACCTATTCTGGACAGATTTGATATATACAATGAGCTAAGTGATAGTAGCCCTGAGCCATATGAGTTGCACAATAATTACTGGGTTAAACTATGGTTGATCAAATGCTTCTTGGTAGTGCAGGACTTCAGTAATTGCATTACACCATTCAGGGTTGGTGACACACGCACACCACACGTGCACTTTAAACTCTGTACAAAGATTATAGCTTTATTATTTTATTGCAGTTTTTGTAATAAAAATTTTGCATTCTGTTTCAAGGTTGCATTATAAACTTACTTTTACTTTGGTGCTTGTGACTTATGTCTTTCTCCTCAAATCACTCTTTTGTGACTGCTGCTGTTCCCTTAGCTTTCTGTACTCATCTAGAGTAAAGCATATCATAAGTAGGGCTGCACCCTGTAGTGTAGTGACATCTTCAATTTGTAGTGTTTCTTTTCTTCCCAGAGACCATGTGCAAGCCATGCAAGAAAGGAAAGCTCTGCATACCTTACTGGCCCAAAAGCAGGAAGACCTGCCTCCCAAGAAAATGAAAGACAGCTACTTAGAGGTCATTTTGCCTCTGGGGAGCCAACCTGAAATAAGAGAGAAATATCTGAATGTACACAACAGTGTAAGGTAACATACTTATAAATACTAATTCTTGATTTCATATTAATATAGAACTCCGATTCTCATGTAAAATTATTTTATCATAGGTTTGGAAGGATTCTTGAAGATCTCGACAGCTTAGGAGGTATGTAATTATGCTCATACCTTTAAAGCATATTTACGGTTTTGCTGTTTGCAAGAAATTATTTTATAATAGTGTAATATATTATGTGTTTATATTCTGTACTAGCAAATTGCCTGTCAAGAATGACAGGCGGGCAGGTACACAGGCCCACATCCGGTGTCCGTCTGTCCCCCGCACTTTGGGTCCAGGTCCAGGCCTGTCTACCCCCAGCCCCCACTTCAGGTCCGGGTCCTTTTCCCGCCCCCTCTTTTTCCCCCCGCCAGTTTGGATCTGGGCCTGCTTCCCTCCCACCCCTTTGGCTCCAGGCCAGTTTCCCCGCCCTTGCACCACACCTCTGAAGAAGCTGCTGGGCTCTGATTGTCCCATGGCCTGGCCAGAGCCCCAGTCACCATGAATGGGGCCCCAGCCAGGCCAGGTCATGGAGCAGCTGGAACCCATCAGGGGTGTGGCATAGGGGAGCCAAGAGGGGGGCCATGGCCCACTGGTCTGTGCTGCTTTGACAGCAGCGTGGCACCATGTACCTCTGCCCAGCCTGCCCAGTGGCAGGACTTGCATGGCGCCGTGCTGCTGTCAAAGCAGCGGCAGCGAAGCACAGGCTGAATACAGCCCACCCCTGTATCCTGCCCTTGCCCCATGCACAGACCAGGGGGCCATGGGCCCTGCCCTTGGTTCCCAAGAGCCATGCCCCTGGATGAGCCGCCATGCTCTGATTGCCCCAGGACCTGGCCCAGCTGGGGCCCAGTCACTGGGAATGGGGCATTGGTTGGGCTGGGTTGGGTTGTGGGGAAATCAGAGCCCAGTTGCTTGTCCGGGGCTTGGCACAGGTTAGCCAAAGTGGGGGGATGTGTCCCCCTCCAGTGGCTCCTCCCACATCTGGCCCCGTGCTCCCTCCCACCTCCTGCTGCCTCCCAGGAAGGGGGTGGTAGTTTGTTTGTGGCAGCCGTAGCCATTGCCCTGTGCTGCTCCCCCACTTGTTGTCCAGCTGTTTGCAACCGCTGCCCCACCTCCCACCCCACTCACCCTCCCTGGGCAAAGGTGGTTAATTCTCAGAGGCAGGCAGATGGGGGTGCAGCATGCAGCTGCAGGGCCGTGCTGTGCTGCGCCCACTCCCCTACTCTCCCTTCCCATTGCCTCCTACTCCCTACCGGGTGTGGTCTGGGGGTGCACTGCACCTCTTGACAACAGGTGGCAGGGAGTGGAAGGCAGTGGGAAGGGAACGAATGTGGTGTGCCACGCCATGAGGCAGCGCCCCATGGCGGCAAGCCACATGGCCACACCTGACAGTAGGCAGTGTGTTGCTCTCTGTGGCAGGAAGGGTGACATATCCTACCCCTGACTGCCTGGCCAGGTCCCTGGCCCCCAACTGCCTCTGCCGCCTCCTGTCAGTCTGTAACACTCTGGGCCAGCCAATTGCCACCTGCCCTGAGGGCAGCACATGCGCAGTTGGCCTGGAGGATTACAGATGGACAGACTAAGGCTTTTATTGTATTAGAATTTATAATAGTGTAGTAGTATTGCTTCTCAGCCTCTTTAGGGCTTAGATAAAGTATAGTGCCTGTTCTGTGTTTGAGGATGGGTTGTCCTTTCCAAAAAGGAAAATAGGACAATCTAATAGTCTTCTCGGAAGAGAAAGATGTATAGCAAGGAGTAAAGAGAGGGTAAATTTTCCTCTTTAAGGTTCCAACTGCTTGCCTCTATCAGATCTAAACAAATATGTTGGAAAATATTAATACCAAAATGCAATCCTACAGTGGGCTGTTTTAGGTAAGAATGGGAAGCTACAAAGGAAAGTACTCTTTGGAAAGGGTCAACTTTGTAGTTCCTGCAAAGATGGAGAGCTGTTGGAAACTATACCAGGCCTTGCCTGTTGTAGCATAGGGTGTATTTGGAATAAAAGGACCACTGGAGGGATCACCAGGGTGGAAATGAACCAGGAAGGCAGTGTGTCACAGAGTAAGGAGCAGGAAATAAGGAAAATAAGCAGTTTTTCTCTTAATACAAGAATGTGAACCTATCCAACAAAGCTGAAAGGCAGCACATTTTAAAACTGATATGCAGAAATAATCGATATAGTTGTTGTCTTCAGATATTGCTGAGTCTAAGAACACAGAAAAATTAAAAAGATATGGAGAACATCTGGAGTCCTATTGGGTAGGAAATAAAATTAGAGGAGAGAGAATCTTTCATTTTAGGGTAGTAGTAGGCATCTGTCTATCTCGTGATAACAATAGAATTGTACTGAGTGAGAAAGAGGTCACTCCAACTTTGCTTCCTTTCAAGTGAGTGTTGCGTTCAGCAAGGTGATGTCTTGAGCATTTAAATTAACAACCAGTTGTTTGAGGTTAGGAGAATTTTCTTGTATCAATAAGTAATCTGAGTCAGTTTATGAAATTGTTACACTTTTCTTAGGACCAGGATATTACTGTTTCAAAGAGTGACCAGTAACAAGACAGAATGGACTCATTTGAACTGATAATTCCTGTTTCTGTGGGATTAAATAAAGAGTAGAAGGAGCTTTATTAGTTAGTGAAAAATGCTCCTTAGAAGTTTATTTTAAATGGGGGAAGACTTGGGGGAGAATATGATAGAGGTCTATAAAATCATGAGGGGTGTGGATAAAATGAATAGGGAACAGTTTCAGAATACATGAACTAAGAGGCACATATTGAAATTAATGGGGCAGGTTTAAAATAAATAAGAGAGAGACCTTTTCTACATGGCACAGTTAACTTGCAGAACTCATTACCACACAAAATTGTAGGAGCTGATAGTATAACTACGTTCAGAAAAGGATTAGACAAGTTCATGGAGGACAAGTCCACTGATAGTTATTAAATAGAACAGTCAAAGATTTCAGAGAATGCATCTCTAAATCAATGGTGGTTGAAACCAGGGAGGGTAGGAATGGGGAAGGATTACACAGGCAGTACTCTCCTGCTAACGTATCTACTAGTTAACACTGTGAGGGGCAGGATATTGGGCTAGATGGACCATTAGTCTGACGTAGTATGGCATTAATTATGTTTTAATATGAAACTTTAATTACAGAGGGCAGTGATTAGGGTGAGTAGGGAAGGGCGCAGTATAAAAAATTTGACAGATGGGTTTAAAAAGATCATAAATTTTCATGGTTTTCCTATTCTGATAACGACAGGGTGGGGAACAACACTGAAGAAAAGTAGGATGCAGTAGGGTTGCAAAGCATGGAATTTATCTTGTGTGGACAAATATGAGTCATTTGGCAAGGGTGCAAAACAGCTACATAGTGGTACCTGGAGTGTAGAGGTAGACATGGTGCTAAGATGTAGGTGAAGAAGTTATGCATTCAGACCTGGCGCTGAAAGCCTACTAATGTTCTGTTGTCTTTTTCTGTCTAGACTTCTTCACTGACAGTCTTTAAAGAGTTTGAGATACTTACTTACTTACTTACTTACTTAACTTTTTCTTTACAGGTGAAAGTAGTGCTGGGTTGCTGATATGAGCGTGGGGAAATTTTCATACTTATGACTCCAAGGAACCTTTCTTTGTTAGTTCTATTGCTGGTTGGGAATTTTTTATTTATTTATTTATTTTGACAGAAGACGTTATCTTGATGAGATGAAAACTTTTTTCTGGAACATTGGAAACAGCTTTATTTTTTTTCTTTTTTTGAGATGGAGATTTTTCCAGATGGTCAAAATGACCATCCTGTTATAATCAGTAACCTGACGGTTGCAACCTTCCCTGGACATGTGGGAAAATGTGATGCAAGTCTCTGGTCTGAATCAGAGAAGACCTGAACCATACTCTGTCAAGCTTCTGGAACTGCCCCAGTTAGTGGGCTGTTTGTTATTCTGGGGTGGGTTTGATTTTCCTGAAAGTCTTAGAAGGCTTTGGATTTTTGTCTTGATACTGAATGCAAAAAAATATTTGAAATCTGAAACATCCATCTTTACTGAGTTCTGTCCAGAGTGTAATAGTTTCAGTCCAGAGAAAATACATGCCCAGTTATGAATGATAATACTTGTGGAAAGCATTACGTGTGCAAATGTAATGTGTTAGAGCATCCCCTGCAAATGGGTTATGAGAGGGAATGACAGTCACCTAGTTTTTTGCCAGCTGGCAGTGATAGTTTGTTAAATTACATTTGGGCCATTGTTGAATGACAGATCTAAGAATTTTCAGAGTTGTGGTGTCCATGGAGGATACAAGTGTAGATTATACCTATTTTTATCATGTTTTCAGGGAGGGGAAAGGTCTTTCTCATTCTGTTCTGTTGTTCTTTTTAGACTGAGCCCTGTTTTAAATGCAGCCAAATATTTGGTCACAAAAGTGAACATTTTAAGTTCACGCAGCATAGTCACTAAAAAAAAATCCTGTGCGGTACAGAAGCACTCATGACCAAAGGGAATTATTTAAAAAAATGGTCTGGCTTATGCTGAATAAAGTATTATAAGCAGATCAGTCATTTTTACCCTTTCTGGATGAATTCTTATTTGGTTCTGACTTCATTTGAGTTTAATGGGTATCTTTCATTCTGCATCACAAAGACTACATTGTGAAGGGTGTTCTACTGCTCAGTTTGATTAAAATTATGGAGAACAGATAATTAACCCCCTTGTTCTCTCCACAGTTCTCATTTGTTACACTCACACCAAGCCTGAATCTCACCAGAGATCTCCTTTATCAATAGTTACAGCCCTGGTGGATAAAATTAGTAAGTAGTCATTTGATCTGGTCTCTTATATTATTGTGCAGTAATTAGTAATTCCTATATAATTTGGGTAGAAACTGATTTATTTCTTTCCTCCACTTGTATTACTTTATTTTCCTCCTAATTTTTAATGCTTTGTGGTATTTCTTAGATACTGTTTTGCTTTTTCTCATGACTCTCTTTCCAAAAAAGTGAATATTTTATGTTCCAAATGCTTCTTAATTGCATTTTGCATCAGTCAGTCATTAGTCTACATGTTGACAGGCCAGTGTTTCTTTTCTTAGCTTGCCTCCTGGGTCATTCCTTTCCCTGGATCACTACCCCTGCCTGCTCCTCCTTACTACAGTACGGGAAGAAGGCTGGTTTAACAAGTGAGAGAGCTGCCTCTACCAACAGGGAATTCCCATGCACCAGCGGGAATTTCCATTGGCTATCCCTGAATGCTTTGCATTGGTTATATAGTCTGAAGTGACCACAGAGAATGGAGACCCTCGCTAGTTAAAAATACTAAACTTCAGCTGTTCTGTTACAGTCTAATTTATGTCTCCCAGATTTGTGCAAGAAGGTCATATACCCAGACTGTGATATCAAATTCACTGGCAATGTTTCTTGGGTTGGGAAGACATCAATGGAAGTAAAGATGCACATGCTTCAGGTGAGTTCTTGTGAACTTTTTTAGTTTATCCTGTACTGGAAAGCTGTCTTTCTTCTAAGATACTTTGGACATTTCTGAAGCAATTATTGGTGATATGAGTAGCAACCTAAATTTAACTGAATGAGATGACTATTTTAGGGGTCCCCTAAGTTTTATGACCTAGACAACTACCAACAGCTTAGGACTGGGAAGATACTTGCCTTTTCTCTCCGGAGTTGTTTCTTATAAGTGTTTTTTGTATGTTCCACTGAAGTAGCCAGTGCTGTTAGAGGTTGGATGGTTGGTTAGTATGATGGAGTATGACAGTGTCCAAACCTTACTTTGCTTCTCAGTGAACACTTCTTCACTTTCTGAATTTTCTTCTCTGTATTTTAACATCAAAATAATAGAACGTCAGTGTTTCATATTGAAATGGGATGCCTTAGCTTTATATCTTCTAACATTTAAATAATATGACTTCTTAGCCTATTAAGACAAATTGTTCAATACGTATTGGAAATGGGTGAAGTTCTTTGGAATAAGACATTTTTACTCAGGAGCACAGTTGGCCTACAAAAATCTAGTTAGCTCAGTAGGACAAAATTTTTATTAGTAAACAATCAGTGAAAAATTAACAGATATTTGTTTATTCATTTATTATCTCTTATTTATTACTAACATTACTTGTTATTAACAAATGTTTAATTATTTGACCCCTTTCACTACAATATACTAACATGGCAAATCATTCAAGACTAAAGGTTCCATAAACTCTTTCCTTCAATTATGCTATTGACCACAGTAACTGTTTTCTTATGTAGTTGGTCTCTTGAAAGCTAACTTTGCTACTGTTGAACATTTAGAAGACAAGGGTTAATCTACTGCTCTATATGTCACTGTTTTCTTGACACTAGTTAGACAAGGCTGCAGTGGCAACAGGCTTTTTGCATGATGTTTTTAGAGTAAATGATAACTCTCATTTTTCTATGTGGGTTGATGTGTAAGAGAGAGGGTGCATGTGCATGCATTTGCATGGTTGTTTTAGGAGTGTAAGTGATAAATTTTAATCAGGAAGCAACTGCCAGCCAGGGTAACTTGTATCAATGCCAACCAGGTATGCTGAAATTTTGGTTAAAGTATAGTGTTAGATTGTGCACTTCCTCTGCCTTTGGCTCTTTGGAAGAGGACTGGAAATGAGTGAAATAATGTGGGAGTAAACAAGTAACAGCTTAACTGCATTGCTTACTTACTTGGATGGCCAGCTAAACAAGCACTGTATTGTAGAGATTAAAGCTGTACTTGTTTGGCTTGTCTCTTAGGAATATGATGGTGTTTACAGCCCTGTATTAGATGCAACCTTTGTCATGGTGGCTCGTGATCCAGAAAACAAAAGGTAATTAATAAGTAGATGTTGGCAGTGGTGCTTTATCTAGATTGCTGTGACTGTAAAATAACTCTTGTGTACATAGGTAACTGTATTACTTTGGTTATACATAAAGGGTATACTTGGCTTGTTCTGTTGAGAAATAAGAGGGATATTTGTGTTTACTCTTTTGGGAGAATGTAAGGACACTGTAGAAGTAGTCAGTGATATTTATTAGAATAGTATACTTTGCTCTTGGAAGCTTTTGTATCATTTGCTTCTTTACTATAATGGGTTTCTTGAATTTGGGTAGTAGGCTGATTAACAGGGAGGAGGGAAAGTTAGCTAAAATCCCACCACCAGTCTACAGTAAGCATTAGTAACCGTTGGTCACCCTCTCTGATTTAGGGAGAGAAGGGCTGAAGCTTAACTTGTAAAGAGATGACTTGTTAAAATAAATACACCTTTTAATGCCATAGTGGAAAACATTAGTAATACTTTGAAGGAATCTGTTAGTCTGAAATGAATTGGTAACTGGGACTGATGTGTACCATTCTTTCTGAATAATTTACTAATCTCCATGTCCTTATCTTGCTGTTTCTACTTTTCTGCGTTTTATTTTGCTTGGTCATTAGGGGGAAAGTAAAAGTCAGTTTCACTTGTGGTTTATACAGCACTAACACTGCTGTTGGAGTTAAAACACAACACCTATCTCCTCCTTGTTTTACTCTCTCTGTTCATAATTACATTACACAACTAATATGTATGTAATGATGAAAATGAATTGAGTTTTTATCTTAAAATAAATCAGTGCCCTGACACACAATTCAGTCGTTTCATGTTTGTTGTCTAGTTTATAAAATATCAGTCTTAAACAGATCCTTACTAGTGTAGTATTTGTGACCTTTATAGTCTTTAAATAAGATTACAGCCATACCATCCCACTACCAAAGGAAGTATTACTGTCTCTATGTATCAACAGGCAGTTGAGTCACAGAGAGCCCAAAATGAAACCAAATGCCTTTGCAGCAGAAATTGACCTTAACTACTTAATCGTCCATCCAAACCTACAGCTACTTTCCCAAAGTATAAAGAGTGCAAAATAAGAAAAAGACCACTCCACCACTCAGATCAGACAGAGAAGCTGGGCTCTGCGCCATGGCTGGGAAGTCAGTAGAACTGGGCTCAGTCATGCTAGAGATGAAGAGAGTGAATTCTAAACAAAAGAGATCTCACAGGCAGTTATCAGCCAGCAAACCCCTGGAAAGATGGGGACCAAACATAAGCTACCTACTTGGGTAGTTATCATGGTAAGAACATGTTGTCTGTGTGGTTGGGTTTTTTATGTTCTGAACATAATGTTAGCAGCAAACAAGGAATTGCAAAAGTTACAGAGGAGGACGATTCTTAAAATAAATGAGCAGCTTGTCTTGCAAAAAAATGCTTGATGTTGCTAGAATTAGACTGTAATAGAAGTATGGAGAGAAATAAGCAAATGAGTAGAACTCTTGTCAACTTTCTTTTTCTTGTTTGGCAAGTGATATATATGTACAGTAAACAGCTTTGGTTGCTGATAAGGTTGTGGCTGGGAAGTGTAGATTATGAATGCTGCTTCTCCCAGAATTTTTCTGCCAGTCAAGGTTAATTTCTTTACTATAAATTCACAGCTTGAATTGCAGCATTTATAAATGGTTTCCTGTTTTCTTAAAACTCTTGTATGAAGGCTTTAGTTACATTAATGCTTCTTAACAGGATTATGATTATACGAGGGAGTCTTCTTTAATTACTATATCGTCTGTTGAGCAATAACGTATGATATTCCATATTCTGTAGGGCACCAACAGGATATATAGCTTTCCAACCAATATAGGATATATACCAACCAA